TATACACACAATCCAATTACTTCAAGCAAGGCTTCCTTGTCTATCAACATCATCTTTCCTACAATTTAGCAAGGGCAGGATAAACATTTTGCAAGGAAAAAAGAAACAACACTGCTGCTTTCCTGCTGCATTCCCATGGTGTCTGGGGATCAAGTCCTAACAGCACCATTCTCAAGAAAGAAGGATGGCTGGAAAGCAAACCCAGGATTTTCCTTTTTTCTGTTTTCAGGTTGTTTTTTTTTTTTGAAGACTGAGGAACATTGATTACTTCCCACAATTCAGAAGTTAGAAGTCTCAAATGGAGGACAACAGACTGATAAGGATATCAACTAGAGAATACAAAGTCTCTCACTATGTGATCTTGGAGGCAATTATAGTAGTTAGAATGAAGTTACGCTGGAATAAGTTGATATTGCAATATAAATAAAACACTCGTACCTGCCATGGCACACTTCCACACCATTTCTTCCCATTCAACTTACTGTTAACACATCGGTAAAACAACCTATCAAAGAATAAAGCAAGATTTGAAGCAAAAGTGTCATTAGAGGAGCTCTAGCCATTCTTTAAAAACTAGTGTGACGCTGAAAACATCACTTGATCTGAGATTAAAATCCAGACTTCTGCATAGCAAAAATCATGAATGATGGTAACAATCCTTGCTACCCAGTTATCATTCCCTGAATATAATTCCTTAGGGCATGGGGGTTTGTTTTGAACCACAGAATGGCTTAGGTTGTAAGGGACCTTAAAGATCATCAAGCTACACCCCCCCTGCCACGGGCAGGTCTGCCACACAGCAGATCGGAGGCCATTCAACCTGGCCTTGAACGCCTCCAGGGACGGGGCATCACAAGTTCCCTGGGCAGCCTTTGCCAGGGCTTCACCACTATGAGTGAAGAATTTCTTCATAATATCTAACCAAAATCTCCCCTCTTTTAATTTAAAGCCATTCCTCTTGTCCTGTCACTATCTACAATGCAAGAAGTCAGTCCCCCTCCTGCATATAAGCTCTCTCCAAGTACTGAAAGGCTGCAATAAAGTCTCCCCTGAGCCACTGGTTCATTTTAAATCTTGAAATGAAAGCTAAAGGCGTGCTACAAATTGCTGAAGTAAAAACACTGTCTTATGTCCAGATGCTCCAAAGTCTCACGATTTTTAGGCGTGAGAAAATGGCTATTCTACCATTATGCCACACAGACTACTTAGACTGCAGGATTGAGTGCACCCTCAACAACTTTGCTGATGATACCTAGCTGAGCAGTGCAGTCAATACAACAGAAGGAAGGGATGCCATCCAGAGGGACCTGGACAGGCTTGAAAACTGGACCCAGGAGAACCTAATGAGGCCAAGAACACAGCGCTGCAATTGCGTTGGGACAATCCCAGATATGACTAGAGACTGGGAGATTAACTCCTTGAGAGCAGCCCTACCTTGCAGCCTGGAAGGCCAATGGTATCCTAGGCTGCATCAAAAGAGGGGTGAACAGTAGAATGAGAGAGGGGATTGCACCTCTCTACTCTGCCCTTGTGAGGCTCCATCTGGAGTACTGTGTCTAGGCCTTGGGTCCCCAGTACAAGAAGGATGCAAAGCTGTTGGAGGGCATCCAGAAGAGGGTCATGAAAATGATCAGAGGGCTGGAGCACCTCTCCTATGATGAAAGGTTGAAGGAATAGAGATTGTTTAGCTTGGAGAAGAGAAAGTTCTGGAGAGACTTCATTGCAATTTTCCAGTACTTGGAAGGAACTTACAAGCAGGACTTCTTACATAGGTCGATGATGATAGGACAAGAGGGAATGGATTTAAACTGAAAAAGGGATGGTTTAGGTTAAATGTTTGGAAGAAATTTTTCACTCAGACGGTAGTGAAGCACAGGCACAAGCTGCCCGGAGAGGTTGTGGATGCCCCATCTCTGGAGGCATCCAAGGTCAGGCTTGATGGGTTCCTGAGCAGTCTGATCTAGTGGCTGGCATGCCTCCACAGAGGGGAGGTTGGAACAAGTGGCTCTGTTAGGTCCCTTTCAATCCATTTTATTATTCTATGACAGACTTAAGAGAGATATTCTTAAAACGGGCAGACAACAAGGTCAGCTGCAAGAACTCGATCTGAATTAATACTGCTGAATTTGATGCAATCAAAACGAAACTCTGATGAACCCAACAACAAAGCTACGTTCAATTCTGTTAAAAAGAAGCGTTAATGAATCACTCAGGTGTATATAATTGAATATCATTACTAACAAAAAATAAAGAACATTTTGAAAAGAGTAAGCCAAGTCCTTAAGTCCAGAGGTTATTTTTTAGCTGTAGAAGAGAAGGTCAGCCATCCCCACACAGTTCCAGTCACCCACATCTGTACAGCCAACCTTGGCTTCTGCTTGGAGGAACTTACTGGTACACATCTCTGTGCTGCTGCTGAACCAGAATTTGCAGCTCCACCATGTACCCCTCATGGACCAAACAGTACGAAGGAGGAACACTGAAACGAGGAAAGGAATAATAAACACAACACGCGCCATCAAAGCCACAGCGACCAAAAGACCGACTCGGGACACGACACTCGGAGCATCTTCTCAAAGACGATTTGGCAAAGAAAATAAAGCCCACAAGTCCTGACACGACGCAGGTTTTCCCTGAGGCCAACATCCAAAGCCCTCGGACTCGCTCAGCCCCGCGGTCCCTCCCGCCCCGAGCCCCTCACGCACTCAGCCGGCAGGACGAAGCCGCACGGCGCCGAGCCCTGAGCCCCGCACACGTAGAAGCTCTTCCCCTTGTTGGGGCCATCGCGGACGCCGGTCTTCAGAAGGCAGAGGGAGCCTGCAGGGCGGAGAAGAGCGGGACGAATTAGGCACGCCGCCGGCAGAGCTCCTCCAGAATATACCCCCTACCCACCGCCCCTCACCGTGTTCCGCGCACACCACCGCCTCCATCGCCGCACAAGCACCCCGCCCCCCTCCCTGCAAAACGACCAATCACACCGAGCGCCTGCGGATGGACCGCCCGATCAGGACGGGACAGCCAATCGCCGCTGCGCTCTGACTTCTCTCCGCCCCCGGTCTGTTTCTCCTTTCGAAAGGGCGGGAGGAGGGGGCACTGCTATTGGCTGGCGCGGACATGGGGCGGGACTACCGGCACCCCAACGGTCGCCTAGGCTGCCTGCTGCTGCCGTCGGTTCCGCCTCAGGCACTCCAACCCTCAAAAAAATCGCCTGCTTTTCGCTTGGGTGCCCACGGTTGCGAGATTTAAAGGAAGGAGACCTCGATTTACTCCTCTCAGCTGAGAAAGCTGTCTTAACGTTAAGCTCGGTGTGCCTCCTGACTTGCCGAGGCCTCTGGGCTCACTGCGGCAGACTTCCTGGGCAGAGACGTGTTCCTCACCACAGGGCTCTGGGTGTAGAACGGGCTGCCCAGGGCAGCAGGCATAGCCCTAAATTCAAGGAGTGTTTAGATTAACAGGAGTGTAAACAAACATCTTGAACCATTAGAAACTTGTTTTTTTCTTCTGTATTTCAGATGGGGGATATAATTTTACAAACTGTGTGCATTACCGCATTAACTTATGACAAGTGAGAAAATGATGCTGGTAGTAACAGAGAAATGGAGAGGCTACAATTTGATTAGCAAAAATATTAACAACATTCATACTAAATAATGGATTAGTGAAATGAACACTGAGAGCCCAATTCAGTACTGGTGTGAACAGCTGCAGCCTTGCTGACTTGCCTGAAGACTGAATTAGGCTCAGAATTATTCTGAAAAACATCCTTTTTATAAAACACACGTGATTTTGTGCGCTCACATGCGATGTGAAAATTTTTGCTCCTAAAAAAAACCTATTAGTTTTGGCCTAGCACTGACTTCACATCACTCACTTTTGCTCTTTCCACATTCACTCAACTTGTTTGGAAGCAGGAACGTGAAAGAAAAGAGATGCAGATAAAACAATTCAAGCCCTCTGAGGGGAAGCACATACCTTAAGGAGCACTGACCACTATAAACAAGTACGACTGAAGTATTAATGACAGCAATAATAACCTCAGTGCAAGGCATTTCCTGGCAAATAGTGGAACTTGGGTTTTGAAGTGCCCCCAAGTGTCAACTAACACACAGGAATAGGGAGCTAGTACACACACACTGCTGCTTAGCACATCAGCTCTCCATCCAATCCACAGCTCAGTTCATTCTGCATTATTCAAAGAGCTATCTTACGGTGTTTATGTGTTCTTTAAGAGCCCATTCTTAATCACCAAACCACATACTGAATTTTAAGCATGCAATTAAATCTTACGTGGGAATGTCATGGATTCAGGCTAGTTCAAAAAGACCAGCTGCTTTATCCACAGACTGATATAAGCTTGTGCTGAAACGTGTTTCTGAGTTAAGAAGATGGACAAACAGGATGTCTAAAATCAGAGATGAGGCTCTGCCTCAAAGCTTATTTTGTTTCTGTACCTTTGAGAAAGTTGCAAGCAGACATAATTTAACAACCATCAACTTAATTTTTTGACCAGATGTAAACAGTCTGTCCCCCAATTTCCAAAGAATCTGCTGCAAAAGCTCAGTTCACTTCTAAGAAAAAGAAAAAAAAAGTAAACACTTAAAATGAGAGACAGTGGAGAACAGACACAGAGTAAATAAATACAGGTCCTCAGTCCATAAGTCCATTTGCTACTGAAACCCAACCTCAAGAAACGGATAGCCTACTGATCCATCTCCTTGAAATAAACATTAAGGCAGGGCAGTAACTTCTATAAAGGAAGAAAAGGTCCAGGCTAGAAAGGCACAGAGAGGTTCCTCATGCTGGGCATTCTCATAAGATCCACTTCATCCCTCTTTTCATAACAAATCTTTCCACCCTCGCAGCTGCTTTCATTTCTGGCTCAACTGTTGCTGCATTCCTCTTCTTTGGCAAGCAAGGCTGATCAGCCCTCTCACACAGGCCTAACAAGGTAAAGTCTGTACAGTGCCTAGAATGTGCAAGGTGCAACGTAAGTGCTAAATGGTCTTATTCTAGAGATTAATGAATTAAAACTCCAAAAAAATATATGCACTGAGGTAACTATTAAGTACTACATTCTCTCATGATTAAAAAATAACCCATGGAATTTCCTTCTATAGAAAAGATGAATCCTGCATATATGATGAAAGTGGTAATACCTTATTCATGTCCTGTCAAGCTTCCTGAAGCTGCAGGGTGATCTTTTAGTCAAAGCAAAAGCAGGGAAGAGACTTGCAGTTCTCAGAGAAACTAAGAACTCTGCAGTGATGTCCTTCTCAAATATTTCTGTGAAACTTCCAACGCTGGTCTGCTTCAACCCATGACATCTGGAGAAGCAGGTGTCTCGTAAAGCAGAAGCAACATGCAATTAGTTTTCATACCTAGCATTCTGACAAATGGCCAGAAATATCTGCTAGCAAGGATAAGAAGAATGATAACATACATGAGCTCTCTTAAAGCTCAATTGTTGTCCTTAGTGTTCCATGCTCTATTATTTGGGAATCTTGACAGTAAGACTGCGTGTAGAAACCAACGTACAAGCCGTCATCAGAACACTCAAGGTATCAAGTATAAATGGATGATCCTAGTGTTCAGAAAAGGATCACTACAATTATTAAACACTGCACATACTTTTCATCTCTGTGTCAGCTTTGGCCGAAAAGAGACAATGTGATTCAATGGCCTAATGATTTGGTTGACAAAAATCAAACTCTGTGTTCCTATGCTCTGCATGACAGGTTTCAGATGTGGCAAAAAGGAGTCCAATAGCACCCTAAACAATAAGTAAATACTGCTGCAAAATGCTGATGCAAGTACCAGAATTCAACCGACATTCATGTGTCACTGAAAACGTCCCAACAAGGTATCCTGCTTCTGTTCAAACAGTAACAGACATGGTAGGTCCCACTTAGTGGTTTCATTCAGTTACTTTCCTCTAGTTCTTCTGTCAAATATTCCCTTCATCGATGCTCTGAAGCTGAAGTCTTTGGCTAGCATGGGGCCTGATGCCACGCCGTGTGTTCACACCGCTTCCTGGCAGAGTCCGCGCAGGAAACAGAGCTCCTGGTAAAGCACCTTCCCCAAACAAGCTGATTTTCACATCAGCTTCAATAGCTCTTGCTAAGCTGGATGCATAACTGTCCAGAGATTTATGAACATCAGCTTTTACGTGAAGAACAGAATTCTTTGCAGTTTCTGAAAGGAAAAAAACAAAAAATGGTAAATAAGAACAAACAGCAGGGCTGTGCAAACGCATCAGTATCGATCCATGTGTAAAGGTATGACCATGCCTTCTGTAAAGTAACTACCCTACACAGTGCATTTACCAAGAATATCCAGTATTTCCAAACCATTCGATGAACGCAAAGCTTCAGCACAAACATAAAATAAGTAGAGAAAAATTCCCTCCAATTCAAGTGGAAAAAAAAAAAAAAGTGATCTGATAAAGCAAAGTGTTTATACATGTATGCTTAATTTCCCATTAAGTGTATGTTGAATGATTTTCTGAACCTGATGAGGGGAAGCAGCTTTAAACTAAAAAGTGGGAGGTTTAGATTACATGTGAGGGGGAAGTTTTTTGCTGAGAGGGTGGTGAGGTGTTGGCACAGGCTGCCCAGAGAAGCTGAGGATGCCACATCCCTGGAGATGTTTGAGGCTGGGTCGGATGGGGCCATGGGCAGCCTGAGCTGGTGGGTGGCAGCCCTGCCCATAGCAGGGGGGTTGGAACTAACTAATACTCGAAGTCCCTTCCAACTCAAGCCATTCTATGATTCTAATCTATGCACGCTCTTATTATTTCATAACTGTAAAACTGAGATAGGTTTTATCATTACTCAGTGCTTTGAGGTATTCTGCTCATTCGTGCACTGACAATTATTTAGTAAATTCAGTCATTCATTACCAAGACTTCTAGTTCACACTCCCACAACAATCAGCCTACCTTAAACTAACCTTGCAACACCTACAGATCACCCCAATAACACTTCAGTAGTGCAGTATCAACATGATCTGGCTGAAAAAAAGTTGTACATGATTCATCTATTTCCAGCTGTATCCACTGAGAAATGTGCCAGTTGATAAAGTTAAAAACAAACAAAAATAAAAACGACACAATTATATTTAGATCAATGAAGTCTGTAAATAGACAGATTTCAAGGCTATGAATGACAAAGTTGAGAGTAGGCAGCAAATGTGAAGCAATGACTTAACAGAATCAAAGTACAAAGGCAGGAAAATATGTTCATTGAGAAACATAAAACAGACTGCAGTAGTAGCTAGACAAATGGAGTTGCAGAGAGGATACTGCTGCTCAGCATAGATGTGGTGCATGAAGGGAACCCCACCTTCTAACTCTTGTCCTTGCCTGCTGCTGCTTCAGAACTGAAAGAAAAACTTGCTCTTACTCTCTGAAGTGCTTGCATTAGGTGTCAGATCTCTCAAAGTGAACAGTTATTAGATATGCTGGAACACCTCTCCTATGAAGAAAGGTTGAGGGAACTGGGCTTCTTTAGCTTGGAGAAGGGAAGGCTCTGGAGAGAATCACTGCAGCCTTCTAATACTTGAAGGGAGCTTATAAACGGGAGGGGGAAAGACTGTTTGCATGGGTTGATAGTGATAGGACAAGGGGGGATGGTTTTAAACTGAGACAGGGGAGGTTTAGGTTAGATATTAGGAGGAAGTTTTTCACACAGAGGTGGTGACGCACTGAACAGGTTGCCCAAGGAGGCTGTGGATGCCCCATCCCTGGAGGCATTCAAGGCCAGGCTGGATGTGGCTCTGGGCAGCCTGGGCTGCTGGTTGGTGACCCTGCACATAGCAGGGGGGTTGAAACCAGATGATCATTGTGGTCCTTTTCAACCCAGGCCATTCTATGATTCTGTGATATGTTCTCAGGCAATTCTAGAGGACACAAGAGGCTTCCTGAGAAGGTAATATATTTTGTTCTGAGTGTTTTCATACTTACCCCTAAGCCCATTTTTAATTTGCTCTACTTCATCTTCAAATGTCACTGAACTCCTTCTTCGAGGAGGACAGACACAATGTGGAAGAGAAGGGCCATCTGAGCTATAGTCTTCAAGAAGCATTGTGTCTGTTCCTGAAACAAAGCAAGTGTTCTCAAAGTGAAAAACAGCAATGCTCAGATACAATAACAAAATTACATGAAGAGAGAAACCAAAATGTTAAGTAGTGGCAAAATCTTTCCAGTCTGCAACTGTTCCTTCTAAAGATGTCTAAATCCAGCCTCGGTGGGCAAATTTTGTTTTAATTAAATACTGCACACAAAACAAATGAGTTCAGAGTTTTCATAGAAAGGATTTGGAATTCTTTTCTCGTTAGCAATATAAAACCCCAAGTGGCTCCAAAACGCTCAGCTGCAGAGATTATAACATCAATAGGACATGATGCAAAGGTGAAACCTTACCTTCTGTTAATAAAGGGTAAAGCCAAGGGCAACTTCTACATCTGATCAAGACAGAAGCTAACGATGGCCACCTGAGAAGCAGACTACAGCTGCCAAATGTCAGGCTTGCAATCAGACCACAATGGAAATCTGAATTGGAGACTTCTCTACAATTTAGTTTTTGACAACCTATTTTGATTTTCTCAAGTGTATTTTAATACAGGGAGTAGTCATTTTCAGTTTATCAGTCATTTCACCTCTCAGTATTTGCTTCGCACCTTTTTGATATAAAACAGTGTTTGAGCACAAGGAAATTCATCTTGACATCTCTGCAGTGCTTTCATGCAAACAGCAAGACTGCAGCTTAGTCCTCCCTTGTGATGCTGGTGTCTTGGCTGTACAAGGGGGAGGCAGAGCAAGCATTCTGGGGAGATGCCAAGAAAACACTGAGCAGCCCTCAGAAAAGCCAGTGTTCCAAGGCACAGCTTCCTTATGTGTGATCTTTACCACTACTTTCATGGCATCCTGTGACATGGCACCAGGCCAGGACAAAGAGTCTTCACAGGTTTCTTAACACCTCCAGGTAGCGACTTCACATCCCTCTTCATTCATTTCAATACTTTTGGTTCCCAGATTTATTCTTTTTTGCAACAAGGAGGTGTTCCAGTGCCAATTTTACAGAAAGTGAGAGAAAGATGTTGCTGGAAATGCAGCTGTAGACAACATACCTCTCCATAGGTCTAGTATTTGTTGACAATTGATCGATAAAAAGTTTGTCAGTTCACTACATAAAGTGAAATTTATGTGTTCTGCCATATTATTCAATTAAGCACACAGTGAGCTGATGTTCTAACGCAGCATAAAACACGTTAGCAGCTTTCTGTGATATTCTGTGGATCAACTGGGCTTTGAACCTGTCTGCTGAAAATAGTTGACTCCTACTGATCTCCAAAGGTACCAGCGTACAACGGAAGGGTGCTACTAGCAAGATCAAAGAAGAAAATATCTTTGAAGCAGAACTTCTAGTGACCTATGGTACAGATTTGGTTTGTTCATCTAAACTGCTCAGTATCATTCCTCAAATGATGGCAACACACAATGATTTCAAACAAAAACAGGTTTCACCTGATGTTACTCTCATTTGTCACACACAGTTGCACAATACTCACAGCAGGCACAAAAATACCAGCGTAAAATTACTACCTAAATAAAACCCAGCTCCATAGATTTCCTTTAGAAATGCAAGAAACAAACCTCTGGTATCAAGCAATTGTTAAAAGATCTCCCTCTGGTGTCTCTAAAGCAGAACTACTCTTTTAAAATAATTACAGATCAGTTAAGAAGTGGTAGCTGAAATAACTGCCAAAAAAATTTAGTTAGTATTGGATAGAAAAATGTCTGGCAGAAATCTTTCTCCCTTCTCCAAACTACCTTCAACTCAGAGATCTTAAGTAGCAACACAATCCCAAGCTGAAACCATCTGATGCAGTTATGTTTAGACTGCAGGGCCGGTGTGATAAGGCCTGTTACAAACTAGGAATCAGAGAAGCATTCTCCACATCACTTTGTTGCTCTGTTTCTTGCAGATACAGGCAAAGTTCAAGAAGAATGACAGAAACTGAAGGAGAAAATCATAAGCAGTATGTCCCATTCCCAGGAAGCACTAGCAAGGGAGGGTCATTACTCCTTGCAAGTAGTTGCACTGAGAGCAAGGAAGGGAAGGGATTGCAGCGGTTTTATTGTGACAGCTGGAACAGATGCTTCACGTTTTCCATCCATCGAGAGACATCCGAGTATGTAAACACCGATTATCCCACAGAGTTCTGCCAAGTTACAAGTGCAAACTCCTGCCCAAGATGAGAGAGCAAGAGCCTTCGTTTACCTGAATCCTGTGAACAGCTGAAACCTGTGTCTCCTGTGCTGCTGCTGTTTCCTAATGTCCGCCCACCTGCCATGAGGGCAGTGAGATGAGGGGATAGTCCCAAATCTGCAAAAGAGTTTCATTCTCATTACTCAGTGGATGGTTAAGTGGTCTATAAGAGTAAGAACTTATAGTAACACTGACTCTACCACCTCATTTACTCTTGTATCTGTAAAACTTACTGTTCTTCCAGAGTGCAGAGCATTTGGACCTTCCATCTTACAAGTAGAAACATCAGGTGAGCTGCTTTCAAGTATCTTTGGAGTCCTTCCATATGACAAGTCTCTCTTCTACCCACGCTATCTCTCTCCCACTCCATTTGCCATTGCATGTTTTATCAGCAAGACAGGCTGAACACTGAGCACGCATACCCAGAGAGATGGGATCACTTGCCAGACACTTGCTAGCCACTGAACAACCTGGTAGCCACCAGCAGGTGGGAGAGTCCAGTAGCATGGCAAGAAATTTACTAGCAATACCAGGGCACTGAGAGAGCTAGCTTCTTTCAAATCCTCAAATATGGAAAGGAGGAGAATCTAGGATTCTTACATAAGTGCTGTCTTTGGATCTTGCATAAAGATTTTTTTTTTTCCTATCACTGTCCAGCTGGTACACCCAATACATCTGAAACTATCATCAGTTTCTTATAACCTGGAAAGATGAAGTTTTCCTATCTTTTCCCTCCCACCAGATCCCAACATATTCATTCACATCATCTCATGGACATAGATTTAGCAAAGGGAGGAGAACTAGAAATCTCTTGCAGCTTGTGATGCGGTGCAGCTGCACAACTCCTTCCTTTATATGGAGTCTCTTCCAGTAACTCCAGGTCACAAAAAGACAACAGATGCCTTGCTATTCTCCTCTTACTTCTATATTTCAGACCTTCCTTCCCAATTAAGTAACTTTAGTTATCACCTCTGCCTGGAATGTCCCAAGGAACCATATGAAAATGTCTTATTTTTTGGAAGATTCTAAGCAGGACCAGAAAAAGGATCAAAAAAAAAAAAAAATTAGAATTTTATTGCATTACTAATTAAAAAGGAAATTCTGAGCAGCTGAAGCTCTCAGACTGCAACTAAGGGACACGCCAAATAGATTTACTACTTTACATAGTTCTACAGTGTTTAGGATCTTCACAACCATAAAATCTGAGTTCACAGAAATACTGTAATATAACAAGAGCTGTATAAGTTCAGTGAATCCAAGAGTTATAGTACAGAACTAGTGTGCAGTATATGTGGCAAAATCATAGAATCCTAAGGTTGGAAAAGATCACTAAGATCATCTAGTCCAATCATTAACCCATCACTACCACGCCAACTGTACCATGCCCCTCAGTGCCACACCTGCATGGCTCTTTAAAATCTTTAGGGAGGGTGATCACAAAACATGCTGTCGGTAGTGCTTAAATCTCAATAAAACAAAACGGTTACAATAGTTACAAGAGGAGTTTGAGAGAGATTAGTTTTATTAACTTAATTACTATGCCTCCTCTGGCAGGGAAAACTTTACTGGCCTAAGAGGACAAGGTTTTCTCCTTTCAAGTGTCTGTGATAAACCAAACAAGATTGCTGAAGCCTCCAGAAACATCTTACTTTGTTTACAGAGCTCTGAAACATGCCAGCTAGACGCAGATATGAAGAATTGCTCTTAGTGGTATATTAAGAATGTCTTACCTGTGATCCTATTGGAAATGCTGAATAACCTTGAGGTCCTATGCCGCTGAACAAACGACTCACGATAATACCGATCCCCAAAGCACATTCCTAGAAGTTCCTTGCGCACTGTTTTGTTCCACAGTCCGTAAATTAATGGGTGGCAAATGGCACTGGAAAAGGACAACCACGTAGCTAATGTCTCCAAGGCAGGAGAAATACTGTTTTTTCCCCAAAGCGCCTCCGATGTTATTACTACCATGTAAGGTCCCCACGTAATAACAAAAGCACCGATGACAACCAAGATGGTTATGAAAGCTTTGCACTGGTTGGCAGAGTAGACAACCCCTTGGAAAGCGTTCCTTCGGCTTCCTGAGGAGGACGTGGAAGTGCTGGAGTTCTTCCTCCCATTCCTCTGGGAGTCCTCCTCCACAATGACAACACTGCCACAGTGGATTTTGCGGGCTTTAATCCTAGCCACACGGAATATGAACCCATAGCAGATCATCATGACCAGGAAAGGCAGCAACGCACACCAGACCTGCCAAAAGGCAGTGTAACCAGCCTCTTTGTGCCACGCTGCTACACACATCCACTTGAACTGGTCAAACTCCAAAGATGACCAGCCAAAGAGGGGAGGGAGGCAGCCGATGAGGGAATGTAGCCACACATACACAAGAGCCACCACTGCTCTGTTGCCTGTAATCTTCATTGGGTATACCATAGGGTAAAGGACAGCATAGTACCTGGTGAACAACAAAAAAAAAGTCAACAGGAGCACAAATCAAGAACAGCAAAAAACATATGTAATGATGTTGATATATGGCTCTTTTCTCTAAACTTCAACATACACTTTTCTATAAACCTCGAGGTGAATTATTTTTAACAGGAAGCCTGTTAAGTGTAATTGAATGTAAGAATACAGAGCTTTGCAGGGAAGACTGTAAAACTGGGCTGAAGGCACACATAACTATTAAATCATAGAATCACAAGGTTGGAAAGGGCCTGCAAGATCATCTAGTCCAACTGTGCTCCCATTACCATTGCTACTACAAACCACTAAGCAATATCTCATAGCTCCTCATCCAAATACCTCTTGCAATCTGCCCCTGGGAGTGAATTTTAAATTGTTGCTTCTTGTTTTACAAGTAACGTATTACTACAGCACTATTTCCTTTAAAAATAGCTAGATGCAAACCAGCTTTTTATATTATCAATGGCAATGTTTTCTTCTGCTCTGTGTCAAAGTTTCTCGTGGGACTGAAGGAAAATGACATTGCAACTGCACGCAGTGTCATCCAAGCAGTGTTTCTCCAGCCTGCACACAGCCAACAAGTCACCCTATGGAATGATTGAGCAATTGGTTACCACTCATCACAAAAAGCCACTTACCGGTCTATGGCTATGAGTCCAAGAGTAAGCATGCTGGCTGAGCTGATAAGCATGTAGAGCAGAGCTGAGAAATTGCACCAAACAACTCCAAAGATCCATTCCCGCCTGATAGAACTGGTGACAACAAAAGGCAGCACCAGGACAGAGAGCAGGAAGTTGGAGAGGGTCAGGCTGAACACAAACTTGTTGCTCAGCGTGAGAAGGTAAGACTTCCGATAGAGAGTGACAACAATGATGAGGTTGCCCAAGCAGATGAAAACACCAATGACGATTATAGCAACGGCTTCAGTGACTCTGACTGCGCCGTCTTCTTGCGTGGTGAGGTTCCTCAGAGCATTCCCATTGCTGAGGGAAGAATTGCTGCTCATGGTCAGAGTGAGCAGAGCTGGAGCGGCCAAGACATGCTGAGCACCTGGAAGCAGAACAACACCGCTTAGAAATTTTCCAGCAACGTTTCCTCACACTCTCTCCAAAGACTGGAAACTCTTCTGTCTGCATCAATTAAACCTTACCTGGAGGATGCAGGAAACCATGTTAGGTAGGAAACCGAAGGGGCAGGAGATTGACAATGGGTACACCGGAGGTCAGACCGGAGGCAGAGCCCAGCCTAGAAAAGGGAAGAAACTATCTGAAAGACAGAAAGAGGCAAGTGGAACAAGAGGAAACAAAGAAAGTTAACACACTTTATTTATAGATTTGCTAAGTTGTTTTTTTTCCTAAGCCATACCAGCCAGCTGTATGTCTAGGCTGGAAGAAAGAAAAATGATGTAACTAAATCTTTGATTACTTGAAGGAAGGTAAGGTTTTTTTTTTGGTTTGTTTGGTTTTTTTTTTTGTTTTTTAAGTTTGGCCAGTTTGACCATCTTCATTCTTACGCTGCATTTCGCATATACAGCATCTGCTGGTGTCTGTGGGTATCTGGCTACTCATACTCATATCTTACTGACTCCTTAACAGTTTCCAGGTCATGTCCAAAGGCTCAGGAAACACTGCACATATTCTCAGTGTGCTCTCTCCAGGTTCATCTTCACAGCTACAAACAGCAATTCTAACGCCAACACCAAAGGCCTGGCATAAAGAAGCCTTCAGTACAAAGGGTACAAAAGACAGCTGGCATTAAGCTGTAGCCCACCCTCCAGCAGTGCCCACAAACCCTTAATCGCGTGAAGTTTCAGCGCTCAGCACCCAGCCTGCTGCCTCACCACCTCCTCTGCTTAAATCTCTACGTTCCCCTCAGCTCTTCAGCCCCTTCTCCTCGCTACCTCCAGCTTGTGCTCCAACCTCCTTCATCCAACCCCACCACCCAACCACCCATCTGCAGCCCAACACACCAGAACAAATAACGTTAAAAGTGCAAATATGAAAACTAAAAAAACAAGAGTTTGGTTTCAACTTCTCAATGCAGAGTTGCTATTCACACCCCCAGGAGACAGAGGGGCTGAAGTTCCCTTGCCGTAACGGTGCCCACCTGCAGTTCCCGGCAGGCCGGGTGCGCACGGGGCACCTCTGTCTCACCGGGAGGCTTTCGCGGCCCCGGGAGCGCCGTCAGGCCACAGAGCCATCTTTTACTCATTTTTCAGCTGTGTTTTTTCCTATGACTCTCACCAAAGGAGTAGCGGAGCCACGCTTTACACCGCACAGCTCAGCTCAGCTCAGCTCTCCTCGGGGCATTCGCCGCCGCGCGTCCCTCCGGGCTGCCCCGTCCCGCTCCACCCCGCCCGAAGCTGGGCGCATCCCAAGGCCGGCGGGCAGCGCGGGCAGGGCCGGGGGATCGCCTCCATTTTGCCCCCGCGCTCCCTCCGGCAGCGAACAAAGGCCGGAGGGAAGAAGCGAAAGGAGCGCTTCCCGTAGGCCACGCCGCGCATCCCTCTCCTCGCCCGGTGCTCGCCCGGTGCTCGCCCGGTGCCCGCCCCGCCCCGTCCCGCACCGCCGCACCGCACGAACTCACCCGCCGACCGCCTCCGCCAGGGCGGGAGGTATCGGGTGTCGGCGGCCGAGCCCCGCCATGCCCCCGCCCCGCGCTCGCCCCTCTCCCCACCCCTCCGCCGCCTCTTTTCTCTTTCTCGCACCGCCCCCGCCGCCGGGTGCGGGCTGTGGCGGGAGGGGTCCGGCCCGCGGGAACGGCGTGGCTCTGCCGCAGGGGCGCACGGCCGCGCTGTCAGCGCACAGCCGCGGGCCGGCTTTACACCGGGAGATGTCGGCGGGCACGGCGAGGGGCAAAACGCGGACAACCGGCCTCCCAGCCCCGAGCGCCGGCACACCGCTTCGCAGTCGGGCAGGGGCTGCTGCTGCTGCCGCCTCCTAGGGAGCGCGGCACGGGTGTGGCCGAAGGCGCGAGGGACAACCATGTGCCCTAGCTCCAACGTTCTCCGCAATCACGCGGAACTTGGCGCTTGCCGCGCTGTCACACCTGGTCACTTTTAAGGACCTCCCTCCGGAGGGCGCCGCCAGGAGCGGGGCAGAGGCGGTGGGATGCGCAGTCACCGCTCGCTCGCCCAGCGCAGCGTTTCGCACCACGCCGCTGCCGCATGACTTCCGGCCTGCGCGTGCAGCGCCGCTCTCCCGGAAGCGGAAGTTCGGTGAGGCGGCGGCTGTGTGGAGGGGCACCGTTGCCGTGAGGGGCGTGCGGCCGTAGCGGAGGGGCCGGGAAGGGCGGGCAAGAGTGAGCCGCCGCCGTTGCCCCTTCCGGCCTTCTCCTCGGTGAAGGTCGCGCCCTCCGCCTTCGCCATGCACCCCGTTTTCCAGAGCAGCCGGCGCGATTTCACCTTCGGACCGTGGAAGCTGAGCGCCGTCTGCACGCACATCATGAAGTCGGCGCAGGCCGAGAGGTGAGGCGGGAGCAGGCGACGTGGGGCCGGGAGCCCGCCTGTGGGAACGGGGTACTCGAGGTACCGCCGCGTCCGGGCGGGGAGATGTCCGAACACAGCGTGCCCAGCACCTCGGGCATCTTATTTTATATTTCTCCCTCCTGAAGAGCATGGGCTAGTTTCGTTTACGGGCGGCTGTCAGAATCTCGTTAACGGTGGTGGAGGTCCGGCCCTCAGCGATCGGGCACTCGCTGAGTGGAAGCGTGATTGTTGTTGATTATCTTTTAAGGCCCGTTAAGATGCTTTTATATGTGGTGCGCACGCTCCTGCAAGCTATTTTATAATAACATAAAGGACTTCATTAAAAATTGATTGTTTGCTTTCTCCTCGCAGCAGTAATTTCCACTGTTGTCGGACCATTGGATGAAACGCTGCTGTGTCAGCATTGAGTGCTTAAATCAGATTTGCTAATGTGGAACTGAACAGTTGAGCTGTTAGAGCCCTAGCTGACCTCGGTGGCAGCTGAGTTTGACAGATAATTCTAGGCTTCAGTTTCCAGAATAAGTATGTGGGGAGCTGTGAAGGAAAACTTCAGTCGTGTTGCCCTCAGTGTTTCTGTTTGTGTGAGGCCACTGTCGTGAAGTTTTACACTTTCTTTTTGCATTATAAGAAGCCAAGTAAACTTTATTTTTTTTCTCTATTATATCAGCATTATGTTTATTTTTTTCAACTGCATATCTGCCTCCAAACGTATGGAATGGTGTTACTAACTCTTGTTTGTATTCTGTGCTCAATACGTACAATAATCTTCACTAAGTGCTTTTCCCTAACGATCCCACAGTTTTTGTAGTTGTAGATAAGAAAACTTAAATTGCATGTTTTACTGATTCGTCTGTAAAGAAGATTCAGCATTCACTTGAGCAATGCCTGTGTTCTGCAGGAGAAGAAGGGCTGTTACTGCAGTACTCCATTTTTTCTGACATGTTTGTGAAGACATTTCACAAAATGCTGTCTCTTAAAAATGAAGACCTTAGGAATCAAGTTCAGGAGAATGTTAACTCTTTTCTTTAAGCAAGAGACAGAGCTGAACTGCTGGTCTAGAAATCAGGCTACCTGCTGTACGCATCTTTTTTTCTGCTCAGTTTCTTTCAGTGTTAGCTATTTTAAATTAAGCAATTTCCTCTATAACATTCAGAAATTATCTTTGTCCTTGTAGATGATTTTCAGGGTTGCTGAGATGATCACAATGTGTTGAAAAAGGTAGAAAAGCAAAGGTACAATGGTTATGGGACAAGCTCTTTAATCCTAATGCATGAAGCACCTAGTGGTAGGGAGGGAATGGTGGAGGTATATAGAGCATATATTTTGCTAAACAATGTCTGTGTGTGCATAGAGCTGTATGTATAAAAATGACATAAATAAAAAGTGAGCTGGAATGGCTTTATATTTTCTGCAGGGATTGTATTTATTCTATTCACAGAGTTCAATTGGTTCCACAGTTTTCATGCTTGGAGGTTATGAATACCAGCATGCGTTTTCTACAAAGCTGGGAAGTCAGTAGAGCAGTAGACTCACAGAATCACAGAATGACCTGGGTTGAAAAGGACCACAATGATCATCTGGTTTCAACCCCCCTGCTATGTGCAGGGTCGCCAACCAGCAGACCAGGCTGCCCAGAGCCACATCCAGCCTGGCCTTGAATGCCTCCAGGGATGGGGCATCCACAGCCTCCTTGGGCAACCTGTTCAGTGCGTCACCACCTCTGTGTGAAAAACTTCCTCCTGATATCTAACCTAAACCTAAAGTACATGTGTATTCTGCACTGTGCTTTTAATATGCTCTGCCATGGTTGTTGTCGGGCTCTGTTTTGTACCAAGGATGGTGGTATGGGCTGCTGTGTAACGAGTTTAAACTTGCTGACAATAAGTACCCTTTCATAAAACTTTCTGACCATCTGCAAAAGTGGTTCTTGGTTCATCCAGAGGTTTGTCTGCAGTAGGCTTAAAGCTGCTACTTAATCCTTATCATTTTAATTTTTTTTTTTAATCCTGCGTGAGGCTTTTTTACTCTACTGATGGAGAAGACAAGCTTTAGAAATAACCTTATGGTGGAAAAGTCACTTAGGATCAGTGATTCTGTAATTCATGTCAAATGATTAACTGGGAAGGTAACAGTGTTTTTAAGACATACTGATGGTGTGTCTTGTCAATTACTGCGGTCTAGAGAATACTTATGAACAGGTTGTTTTCACTCAGCTATGGCTGACCGATGTCTCCTTATTGGACTGCTTTTTTTCTTCGCAGACTGGCTGAAGAATTACAGATGCCTTCCCTGCCAGAGATGATGTTTGGAGACAATATCTTGAGAATACAGCATGAACGTGGTTTTGGAATTGAGTTCAATGCAACCGATGCTTTAAAATGTGTCAATAATTGCCAAGGTATGATCAAAGTGGCTTGCGCAGAGGAGTGGCAAGAGAGCAGGTACAGTATTTTATCACCACTGGGCAAGTATTGGTGCGTTGTATGCAAAACTGTTGTAAAGTAGTTAAAGCAACAGACAACTCCTGAAAACTGTGTTGTATTTAGTTCTGCCATTGATGCAATCAGCGTGTGATGGCAGAAATCATTCTGCTTTTTTTTTTTGCCCTCATCATCCTATCTCAGTTACTCAGTGTCAGCTGCATTTTTCAATTGCTTCCTGGCTTTCTTCAAACTTAGTGCATGTTTAACGTGGTTTAGTTCTGTTTGTGTTTATTCAAATTCATGGGGGCTTACATGTTACAAGAGTGTGTGTACTGGTGTGTAGAAGTGCAGAATGCTGTAGTTCAACTTCTTAGCCTTAGGACCATAGCAGGCAATCATGTGCATGAGAACTTGTTCTGTTTAGTATTTACCAAATGAGTGGCAGAGCTCCTAGGAATAAGTCAGGAAGAGAAATGAAAGCTGTCTTAAAAACTGGTAATATTGTTCATTATTGCTGTGTGTTGTCAGCAGAATAATTTCTGCCTGCTTACTGAAGTGAGTGTGAACTACAGACTTTTCAACAGCTCTTAAAAATCTTCATTTTTGACTCATAAGCCTGAGGCAATCTTAGCAGAGGAATTTGGGTAATGGTTTTCTAATCCCTTATGATAACAGCTGTTGTGGAAGAACCAATACTGTGTGCTTAAGTCTTGACATCATCAGTCCAGTACAGGCAATACTGCTCTTTTTCTCAGATAGTTAGGACGTGAGTGTGGAAATCATAAAACCTTATGTGAGGTTGTAAGTTTTTAATAATTACTACAAAGTGTGCTGTTTTCTTTTTCACTTCTTGAGGAGTGAGACTGAGCACACTAAGGAAGTCGTCAAGCCTTATGATTGGACTTACACAACTGACTACAAAGGAACATTGCTGGGAGACACTGCAACACTAAAGGTGAGTGTTTTTCCCTTGTTGCGTGCTGATTGCGTGTTGTTTCAGTCAAACACAGAGCACTTTTTTGAAGCTGTCAGTGGGATTTTACAAATTCTTCATGGTTCCTCGTTTCTGACTTCAAAGTATATCTTGAGGTTTTTCATGTTTCTCATCATATTCTCTTAATCAAATCATAGCTTATTAAAAAAAACTTCAAGTTTGATGGTTTTTTTTGTTTTGTTTGTTTTTCAACAGTAGATCCTCATATTTAAGGGACAGGCCCTCTCTTGACTTTATTTTAAAATAAAGCTGAAGTTCCCAGCTTCTCGTTGCTGTGTACAGATTGCTTGCTACTAAGCAGATAATCTGTGTTACTTCACAAGGATTGTGTTGGTTACAGATCACTAGAGTTGCTCTGGAATCAAATGTGCAGCATAAAAGTGATCTGTCTTGTTGGCTTCTGGTCTTTAGGCAGCAGAAACGTATGAGCACATGTAGAGCACAAGATGGAAGAGCTCTGGTTACTTGATTTCTGATTTCTTTATTGGAATTCAGGGTTTGCAGTTGGCTAGAAATGCCAATTGCATAGAAAACTGTTTGCAACCCAGAAGGTCTCAAACGCACATTAAGCATGAGGTGTCTGAATACTTCCACATTCAGCATGCTGCTGAAGGCTACAAAACCTGTACTCAGATGACTGTTTATTTAGAACTTTCCATTCTTGGTTCTTGCTTTGCTCAATGTTTTCTCTTGGAAACGTTGGCTTCAATTTTACCTTTGCCTTTTAGAATTTTGGGTGTATTAAGCCTAGTGCTCTGAAAGCTTCTCCCTTTGGAAAGCTAGCAAATGGAGGATTTTAAAGATCAGGACAAACTTTATGCAGTTTGACAGCAAATTAGTGTACTAACTATTCATCTTTTTCTTGAGGTTGTTCCTACGACAGAGCACATAAATACAGAGAAGTTGAAAGCCAGGGAACAAATCATGTTTTTTGAAGAAGTACTTCTGTTTGAAGATGAACTTCATGATCATGGAGTGTCAAGTTTGAGTGTAAAAATAGTGAGTACTGAGAGGTGAATACAAGCGGCTTGGTGACCTGATGTAGCATGATGTAGTTACTCCTTTGCGTTTTATTCCTTTTAGAATTTAAATTTAAAATGAAAATTTCTTTATTCTTGCTCTTAAAAATAGTTATTGAAAACTGTTATATTGAAATCTTTTTGTTGCTTGCTTTGGTGAGCTTGTCAGTTGCTTGTCCATCTTCCTTTCTGCATCCCTAGGCTCCACAGAAACAGCCTGCTCTGCTGCCCAGTGATAGCTGTAGTGTATCACCAACCTGAGTTACGAGTTTTACTACTGAAAGCTCACTCATGTAGTCCTACATTGTACATTTCTGACACAAATAAACACAGAGTAAGACTTTGTAATATGCTGAATAGCACATCTTTATATTTCCAGAGAGTCATGCCTTCCAGCTTTTTTGTGCTGTTGAGGTTTTTCTTGCGAGTTGATGGAGTGCTGATCAGGATGAATGACACAAGGCTTCACCATGAGGTAAGCCCTCATTCACCATTATGACTGCTTTACAGGTGCTCACTTGCAGTATTGCTTTCAGAGAAGAACTGCTGATATTCCTGTACTTCAGTACTGATGCTGTGGGGCATAGAGGTTACCCAAACTGAACTTTCAGATTAATTTTGTTATGGTGGTGCTGAAGTGTAGCAGCTAAGTGGTAGGTGTTATCAGAGCAGAGTAGCCTATAGCTTATGCTAAATAATGATTAAAATATGTGTCAGACACAGAGAGGCAGTACAAGTTAAAAAATAGACAACAGTAAGTGGTGTGATGTTGTTGTTATGGGGTTGGGTGGGTTTTTTTTGGTTTTGGCTTGTCTAGTATTATGACTGCAAGTTTAACCTTGCAGAGAACTACCTATGCTATGCTGAAGTGAAATATCCCATAAATAAGACAGAACATAGCAGGTTTGCTTATTTTGTCCAGCTGATAATGAAGTGATGCGGGAGTTCTGAGAGAAGGCTGACAAACGCATTCAGTCATAGATATTCAAGTTGTTGCATGCAAAAAGGTGACTCTTGGAGAAGACGCCATTCTTTGTCTTTGGGAGTGTGAATGTACGTTTCTGCTGAAGGGCTGTGATCAGTCACATTCAAATGTTTCCTGAATTCAGTGTTTTCACAATGCTGATTTGCACTCTGATAATTTTGTAATGAATTTTTGTAATTCTTTTCCCTTCAGTCTGACAAGGCTTATATGTTGCGAGAATATACATCGAGAGAAAGCAAAATATCGAGTTTAAAGGTATTACATTTTTAATGTTTTCCTGGTCTGCTTTTTAGCATTCTTTTATGGTCCACACAGAAAACAGTCTGTCAGTAATGCTTTGGAAAGGTTGGTAACCTAAGCAGGGGGAAGATCCTTTTGTGTGTGCAGTTTTTATCTTAGGGATTTCAAGGCAGGTTGGTCTTTGTAGACGACTCAGTGGCCACATTTACAGTATATGGGATTGGGTTACTTTTTCTACTTTTCAGTTAACAGCTGTTTTTGTTATTATTTTAGAACTATTCAGTCACAAAATCAGGTAGCGCACTTCCCGTGATGTTGAGTTTCAACACTGGCTGTGTGCTCACGACCTGTACTAGAACTCAGAATCTGTTTGCTGCTGCAGATTCATTTGTTTTTTCTCAGAATAATTTCAACAGCTTACCTTAAAACCCAAGCAGTAGCTCAGAATCGTTTGTGGCACATTTCCAGTTGTAGTGTTGACTTATTATTCTTTACCCAATGTATGATTTTTAGGTACTCTCCCTTTTCTCTTCACCTGTAAAATGTAACTAATGTTATACTAATGTTTTGAGGGAATACTTTTGCACGATTATTTTCTCCTTATCATTTTTCAGCAATATGCAATCCCTAATTAAGGCAGTTAAATCAGGCGTGATCTTTTTGATAGTTTGGTGGCTTCTGAAATACAGGTAGTTGATCTAGGTTTGGTTTTAACCTCGTACTTCATATTGCTTTTGTGTTCCTTAGATCAGCTTCAGTAGGTAAAGGAGAAAAGAATTCTCAAGTCTGAATGAATTGAAGTTGCAGTATAATTCCTTGCATGTTAGGGGTATCTGACAGGTTGTATTTAAATAGCTCTACACTTCTTGCTTACAGGATGTTGTTAGAAAGTAGTGCACTCAGTGTAGGTTGTGGTTGTTTTCTTTTGTCCTGACAAATGTCTGTGTGTAAAGCTACATCATCTGCAGGGAAAGATGTTAATGAACTTAGACCAACTAATTTCTTCAAACGCGAAATTAAAATCCACTCAGTTACTGTGCCATATAAATAGCTAAACACTGTCTGTAGTGGACTTCTTCAAACTAAGACTGATGTTGAGATATCAATATCAATTATCATTTGCTCCAGGGAGTGTGTAGCAATGGCCAGAAGACATTAAACATGAAATCCCTTGTGGCCATCCTGGTCTCATCCAAAATTAGACTCTCAAAGAGACAGTGTGCAGCAGTGAAGTCATGAACATTGTAGATGTTCTGGAACGTCTCTGACTTTTGTGTGAAGATAAAATCTGCTGCTTAGAAATATGAAATACTTTTCCCTAACCTACTGATGGCACTCAAGAAGTAAGAGATCGTATGTGTTATATCTGAAGTAATAATCTAAATTTCTCTGTGCCATGTGACTTCGAGGTGTTCAAATCAGGTAAAGATCAGCTGTCCGTAAGTATTTGTTTTTTGGAATCTTTTTCCTTCCTTTTTGTTCATTTCATCTAAACTTTTTGCTCCTTAGCATGTGCCACCTTCCCTGTTCACGGAACCTAACGAGATCTCTCAGTATCTACCCATAAAGGAGACAATATGTGAAAAACTAGAATTCCCAGGGACGCTGGAATCTAATAATCCAGAGGCATCACTGGAAACCACGTGTGTTAAGTCAAAATAAATGTGACTTTATATGGACTGAATTAGACTGGAGATGGTGTGATCATGTAGGCATTACTGAGGGGGGGCAGTTTCACTACTAGTGGAATAAAGAATTTGGCTATTTTTTCTGTAGCCCTGAAAAAAAACCAGAACTCATTTCAAGAAGGTTTTGCTAATGTTTGTTCTATCTTGTTTTTTTGTTTCTTTTAAACCTGTATCTGGAGTTAATGATAGAGCAGTGGTAAATCAGTCTTCAATGGTACTGGACATGGACTTTCACAGTGGAAGAGTGTGGGTTCTGCTCATTTCACCTGTGAGGCAGGCCTATTGCCTGGGCCCTCCAACGCAAACACTTCCATGAAAGATTCTGTTAGTCTCGGTATCTGAAGCAGCAATATTAGTCATAAAATTGGCATAATTTTATTTCTATGAGGTAATCATCTACAGTAAAAATTGATAAACAAAATTCCTCTGCATATGTTTTAAGCTTTCAGTCGTGAGAGATAGATTTTTGCTTGGCTCCTACTTCAAGCTGATAACCCATCGAGCTACTTCTTGGCTGGGGAAAAAGGACATCGATTGTCTTCAGTCCCTCTAAGATGCTGGTATTTGCAGTTTGAGAAAGAGGAGCTTATGTAGCTCCAAAAGGATGCTAGCATGTATTCCAGATGCATATTTTTGGTTTATTTAAAATCTCTAAGTTCTGGTATCAATAGGAGTGTGATCACATGTGCAGTCACTATTCTAACTTCGCATTTTGTGGATTAAACTTTAAGTAATTCTGTTGCTTTTGGAAACTTTAAATTACATCAAAGGTTTGGTCTAAGACTGGGGGAGTTAAACGGCCTTGTCCAAGTTTGCTGCTTACACTCAGTGAAGGACTGTAGCAAAAAGCAGGCCTTTTGATTTGACAGGGTCTGATAAGAATGTGTACATTCTGATGTCCTGGACTGTTTTAATTAAAAATCTTCATATTCTACACTGCGTGTCTTCAAACAAGTTTTGGGGGTGGGTTGTTTCAATTAATGATGTCTTTTGAGAAACAGTTTTCGTTTAAGACAATGCTGATGTTTTTATTTAAAAAAAAAAAAAAAAAAGGAAAAAAGAAAAAAGTGCTCTACTATTTAAGTGACTGCTCTTGTTTCCTAAAGGCTGTAGTGTCAGGACAAAGCATTTATCTGGCTGTAAATGAATGCAGAGTGGAAGCGATCCGTATTTGTCTGGACACAGAATATTACTGAGGTCCCCTCCAGTGGTAGAGGAATGTGAGCGGAGAATGAAAAGGAAGGGAACAACAGAGTGAAGAGATAGTTTGTTGGTAGGAGCATATCGGGGCACTTTTCCTATAAGGATTTATTATTTTATGTGCCTTACTGGCTTATAAAAGTGCAGTCTAAAGCCAAAGCTGGCAGTGATTGAAAGGAGAGCTGATGTGCCAACACAAAGGAAACTGTATCTGCATTCAGTAATGAAAATTACGGTTTGGGTTTATGCAGTGATGCAATACGAAGCTCCACTGAGCTCAGGTCTAGTTGGGGGGGACCTATGGAACTGACAGCTGATGTTGAGAAGGGTGCTCTGCATGTGTAGTTGATGTGTATTTACCTCCTCCGTCGTATTTACTAATCTGTGACCTATTGATGCAGTTGTCTTGAATGGACTTGAATCCTGAGTATATATCTCTGATAGCCATCTGTTTTGGGTGCTGTGCATTTAAATGGAACACAAACATTGGAGAAATCACAAGGATGCATTTAGAAAGTCGGTTACCACGAAGTAGAACACGGAGCACCACTCCTGCCTCTGTTACACCGCACAGACGATCAAGAAGCAGCGAGGGAAACTCTGGTACAGCTTCACCAGAGGAAGGTACTGCTGTGGATACGTGATGCTGGGAGGAGGCGCGGGGTCATTCTCCAGCCGTTCTGAAGCGAGCCGAACGTACGGCAGTTTATATTCCCACTTGTATGTTAATAAATAAAATATACCTGACGTTTCACGGCTCTGTTCTCGACTGAGCAAAACAAACTGTAGTAACGGCACGCGCTGCTGCGCCCGGTGCAGGAAGGGCACCTGCACGGCGGGAGGCTCCGCCATTTCCCGCCCCGTCCGCGCGGCGCCGCTCGCCGCCCTCAGCGGCTTTCAGAAGCCCAGCGGCGGGGATGGGCCGTCCCGCCCCTCCGACTACGCGCCCCGGCAGGCTCCGCGCCGCCGCGCCTACCTGCGCCCGGCAGGTACGGAAGGGCCAGCGGCCGCGCGGGGCCTGCCGGGGCGTGTAGTTCCCGGGGCAGAAGGGAAGAGCCGCCCGGCCGCGGCATGGACAAGCTGAAGCGGGTGCTGAGCGGCCGGGACGCGGAGGAGCCCGGCGCTCTGACGGAGGTAAAGCCCCGCTGCCGGCACCTGCCGCCCTGCTGGGGCCGCCGCCTCGGGGAAGCCGCCGGGCCGCTCGTCGGCCTCTGCCGCCGGGCCTCTGCTGCCAGCCGGCGTCGCTTCGAGCCGCGGCCCCCGGGAAGCTCAGGCACTCGGGGTTGTGTTGGTAACTAACGGCGGTAACGCGCACATTCTGCACCCTCGTTTCCAGGTTATCGACGCGACTTCGTTGGGTTGGGGCACCCGAGTGAAAGGCTTCATCGCGTGCTTTGCGTTGGGATGCGTGTTCTCCCTGTTGGTAAGCGCTGATTGTTCTGAGCTGGGGAGGGCCTGCGAGGATCTGTACCCTGGCTGAGGTTTCTGGGTCTCTGAGAGCACCACGCTCGGTTCCAGTTAGATACAGCACGCTAATCATTAACAAGAACGCTAACTCACGCGCTTTTCTCTTTCTCTTCTCCTTTTTAGGGCAGTTGTCTGCTCTGGGTACCAAGGAAAGGGCTGATTCTCTTTGCAGCATTTTACACGTTGGGGAACATTGCATCGATTGGAAGGTAATGATCTTTTATGTTAGTTCTCTAATAAAGGTGACAAGCTGGACGAGGTGTGGAAGTAGTAAAAACCAACCTGTTTGCGTGTGCACATTTGTTTATGGAGATGCAGAGAATCACAGAATGGCCTGGGTTGAAAAGGACCACAATAACCATCTGGTTTCAACCCCCTGCTATGTGCAGGGTCGCCAACCAGCAGACCAGGCTGCCCAGAGCCACATCCAGCCTGGCCTTGAATGCCTCCAGGGATGGGGCATCCACAGCCTCCTTGGGCAACCTGTTCAGTGCGTCACCACCTCTGTGAGTGATTGTTCTCTTTTCGCTAAAAAGAACAGCACCTCCCTAATAGCACCGTGAAAGAAAGTACTGTGAAGACATTGTTTACTCATCCATTACAAAAACAACAAAACACAACACCAAAGGCTCAAAGTCATGCATTGAGCATTGCAGTTTTTAGTTTTTGGAGGTGTGTTTTTTACCCCACAGGATAATGATACTTCTTTGCCATTTTGCCTTTGATAACAGCACCGTGTGTTTGTGAGCTCTGTCTTAGCAAACACCTCTGTGTTACAGTGGGACTGTCTGATAATCTTTCCTGCTTGTTGTAAAGGTTCTTTTCTCCCCTTTCTTTTGTTGTGCACTGATTTCTGTAACAACATTGCGTGCTGGTATCCCATGTGACAAGAGAAAAGTTTACAAAATAACCACCCTTCATCACAAATCTGGCTTGGTTTCACTTTTGCCTCTCACACCTTACGTGTTCATCTTGTTTTGTTTTTCTGTTTCACAGCACTCTCTTTCTTATGGGACCAATGAAACAATTGAAAAGGATGTTTGAGCCTACCCGATTGATTGCTACTATTGTTATGTTAGTAAGTATCAAAGGAATCAGTTTTAACTTATAGAATCACCAATGCTGGAAAAGACCTCTAAAATCATGCAGTCCAACCATCCATCTAGCACCAGTATTTCCCCACTAAACCACGTCCCTTAATACAACATCTAAATGTTTCTTGAGCACCTCCAGGGATGGTGACTCACCTCCCTGGGCAGCCCTTTCCAGCACCCAGCTATTGAGCCCTTCCTTGTAGGATGATCTGTGTCTCAGGATGTGTTGTGGGTGGAGTTCTTTCTTCATCTGTACAGTGTGGTGAAAAGGTGTGTGTAGCACCAGCACTTTCTTGTAAGAAATGGCTGAACCAAAGCCCAATTGTAACACCAAATAAGCATTAAGCATCTGTAGCTGCTGTGTGTAATCCTGCACAAACATTCTTAGGGTGCTTGAGGTCATGTCATGGTGTTTTCTTGTTGCTTGAAGATGAAAGGTAGGAAACTAATTTTCTTAAAAGTTGCACAGTGGAAGTTGCTAGATGTGTCTTATCTTGCATTTTGTATTTCTTGTATTTTGTATTTCTTTATACTCCAGATCATTTGCTTTAAAAAAACTGTGTTGGTATTTCCAACCTGCTAAAATATTTGTTTCTGGCAGCAAAGGGAAATGGAATCTCTGTGCTGTGGTGATCTTGGATTAAAAATAATGCCATCCCAGCTGGCTGATAGCTTCAGGTTTTGAAACTCATGTGGCACAACAAAATGACAAATGCAGCATTCAGCTGAAGTCAGCCCTTCCAGTTGTTTTCATCTTCTGAAGATGGCAATTGTGGACAATCTTTTATTGTGGGGAGGCGTTGCTGGTAATTCTCAGAGTTCCTCTTGTTTATCAGGTTTTTTAAGCTCTTGTACTTTCTGTTGGAGAGTCTAAAATCTAGAAGGTGATTTAATTTGCAGGAAACTCCTCCCATTATTCAGTGTGAATGCCTTCAGAATATTTGCTTGATATCTGCATTTTGTGGTTTGTATTTAAAACTCTGTGAGGCTACAGACAGCACAGACAGCTTAGGACACTGACCATGTATGCTGACAGATCAGCAGCAGTCAGGAAACCATTGTGTGGTGTGTTTGTGCAGTTAGGCTTCTTGGAGTCAGGAGCATGCCTGGAATGCACAGTGGAATAGAGAGGTAGTAGATGTATGATGCAGTATGTACACCAACACACAAATAATGGGAAAACTACATTTAATGCTGGTAATCATGGTTGAGGTAGTGTGTGTGATTTCTTTGGCAGTACATATGCTGCTGTCTTGCATATGCACTAGTACATGTCTCTTTTTTTTTTTCACTCACGTGGAAGAACACACGTTACAGTCTGCAGTAGCACAACAGGAGGTGTGCATTGCAAATGTCTTTAACTTTCTGCTGAAGAAAGGTGAAGTATCAGCATCTGCCATAGCTAAACAAACTGCCACGTCTTAATTTGAAAATGAAAACTTGAACTAAAAAGTATCTTCTGTTAAAGCTAATAGTAAAATAGGAGATAATCCCAAATGGATTACCAGTTCCCAAAGACATAATGTAACGATGTGAAAAGAAAACATGGCTGAGTGGTTGTGGTGGGCTCTGTGTTTAAACAGGGACGTTACAAAGCAATACCTGAAAGCACTTTAAAGTGTGTTGTGGCTTTAATTGACAAGAATTTTTAAAAAGAGTGAAAAGGATGATCCAGGGAACTACCAGTGTGCCAGCCTCACCTCTGTGCAGGGGAAGTTCATGGAGCAGATCCTCCTGGCATCTGTGCTAAGGTACATGGAAGTAGGAGGTGATACAGGATAACCAGCATGGCTACAGCGAGGTCAGGACCTTTTTATGTTGGTGTGACTGCATCAGTGGACAGGGAAGAGTCACTGATGTCATCTGTCTGGACTTCAGTAAGGCCTGTGACACAGTACCCCACAGCGTCCTTCTCTCCACATGGGAAAGATATGGATTTGATGGGTGGATTGTTTGATGAATGAGGAACTGGTTGTGAGACCCTTCTCTGAGAGTGGTCGGTGGCTCAATGTCTGGATGGACAAGCTGTGTCCCTCAGGGGTCTGTACTGGGACCAGTGCTTCTTTAACATCTTCATCAATGACATCAACATTGGGTCTGAGTGCACCCTCAGCAAATTTATGGATGACACCAAGCTGTTTGGTGTGGTCAACATGCCCAAGGGGCAAAATGTCATGTAGTGGGACCAGGACTGGCTTGAGCAGTGAGCCCAGGTCAACCCCATGAAGTTCAACAAATTGAAGTGCAAGGTCTTGCACCTGGGTCATGGCAACCCCCACTGTCAGTGTATTCCCCACAACTGGAGGATGTAAGGATGGTACACAGCCCTGCTAGAAAGGACCTGAGGGTACTGGTGGATGGCAAGCTGGACGTGAACAAACGATGTGCCCTCACAGCCTGGAAAGCCAGCTATATCCTCCTCAGCATGGCCAGCAGGTTGAGGGAGGTGATCCTGCCCCTCTGCTCTGTGCTGGTGAGGCCTCACCTGGAGTACTGCACCCAGATGTGGAGTCCTCAGTACAGGAGAGACATAGACCTGTTGGAGTGTGTCCAGAGGAGGGCCACAAAAATGATCCAAGGCATGGAACACCTCCCATATGAGGACAGACTGAGAGAGCTGGGGTTGTTCAGCCTGGAGAAGACCTGAGAGCGGCCTCTTAGTGTTTAAAGGAGGCTGTAAGAAAGAAGACAGACTCTTGGAGGGTCTGTGGTGATAGGACAAGGGGAAATGGTTTCAAACTAAAAGAAGAGAGATTTAGTTTGGGTATAAGGAGAAAGTTTTCATGGTAAGAGTGATGCGGCACTAGAGCAAGTTGGAGGTGGTGGTGTCCTTGGAGACATTCAGGGTCAGGCTGGATGGGGTTCTGAGCAACCTGATGTAGCTGTAGATGTCCCTGTTCATTGCAGGGAAGTTGGATTAGATAACCTTTAAGGGTCCCTTCCAACTCAAAATGATTCTATGATTCTACTAATACCTCTAGTTTCAAGACAGTAATGGCCTTAAGAATGAACAAGTAATGTGACACGTACAGAGGCAGAAGAAAGAGTCTTAACTGGCAAGTCTTATGCTAAAAGCTGAAATGCAGAGAATGCCTGTTCCACTGAGAAGTGTATGAGGAGAAGAAGCAGGAACACACTGGTGTTGCACAAGTGTGGAAGTCTGCTGCTCTTGCTCCTTTGCAGGCATGAATGT